GTGCCTGGCACTGTGTATTCCTGGACCATCAGGGCCCTAAAATAGCACCAGTCCACTGGTCAGGAATGCTGACCCTGTTTCTGTGTCCTCCTGTGGCAAGATTTGCTGTTCCGTCCTGTTGCTGCTGGTGTTGCTGTCGTCCTCCTTTATGGTGTACCGCCTCGGTGGCTTGGCCGGGAAGCTGAGGTCCCCCGCTCTTGTGACGTGGGCCTTCTGGCAAGTGGTGTGGTGTGGGCAGGGTGAGGTTCCTTGTGCCCTCCTGCCTCGGTTGTGGTTCCAGCGCCCTGAGGGTTCGCAGGGCTGGTTCGCTCCCTTGATTCATTCAGTCCTCAGTCCCTTTGATGAGAGTGTCAGGAATGACTGGAAATTACACATAATTTTGCTGTGCACCTTCCGGTTCAGCTGTCCCTCTGAGCCCAAGAAAATGCCCGAAGCCTTGCATGCTTTTTCCATACTGGGCTTGCAGAAGCTCATGTGCCAAGTGCACTGCATGTGAAAGAATGAGCCACACGTGTGTCTGAGCACATGGCGTGCTAGTTACCGTTCATTGGTTTTATCTGTATCTGTGAAGGAAAGCGGCTGAACTTATTTCGTATGGAAAAACAAAGAGCCCGAGGGGGCTTTTTTAAAGCGTGTCTTGAGTTTGTTTGCAAGGTGTGAGTACAAAGTGAGCAGGAGACAGAGATCTTCATAGCTTGGTGGAAGTGTCTGTGTCCTGAAGGGTGTGTGTGTTAGGAAGAGATGGCTTAGAGATCCTTCAGTCCTCTCAGTGGTGGGAGGGGTCAATAGCGTGGTTCCTTTTTGCCTGTGGACGAGTCAGACACAGAGGGCAGTGGCTCAGTGGTGTCAGATTTTGCCTAAAAAATCCTTGAAATAAACTCTTTAGCTCAAGGGAGCTCAAGATTTGCAACACCAAAGGCCTTGTTGGCATCTTGTCAGCAGCCTGAGGGCTGCACCTGCTTCGCAGAGACATTTACATAAATATTTCTGATCAGTAATGCATGCTTGTAACCTTACTTTCCTGTTCTCTCAGCTTCCTCGATGAATGAAAATTACTTGTAGGAATTTCACTGCCGACTCCTGCTCGTGCTCTGGAAAGCATTGCCATCAGTGCAGACCTCAGCTGCAGGTCTCCTTTCTGGATCCTCTGCTATCATGACGTTAGCTCCGGAAGCCAGTACAGGAGTCAATTCAGCATGGGCAGGTTCTGCTGTCCTCATCAGACCTCAAGAAGTACCAGGAGTTTCCATTAATTGACCTCTTTGCTGCTGCCCTCCTGTCCGGCACGGTGCAGTTTTACGTCTGGGTGGAAGTTGTGCGGTCTTTCGTCCGGCGCATGCCTGGCAGGGGCCGGCGCTGGGCTGGCGTCCGGGACGCTCTCCCTCTCCCAGAGGCCAGCTACCTGTGCCGCCCCGGCGCTGGCTGCGTGGCCAAACACGCACATAAAAAATACTATTAGTCAGCAGGTCACCAGGGTTGAATTTCCTCGTGCATCCTGTGCCAGGGCCATCGCGTTGGCTCTGGCTGCAAACCAAGCAGCAAAGTGGAGCAAAAGAATTGCAGACAAAGGGCTTTTATTTATCAGTTATTAATGTTGTTCAGTTGAACCAGTCTGAAATCATCGGTAGCTAAGATTTATGTTGTTTACAT